AAAATTACTATATATATAAAATGACATGCACCTGTAATCCCAGGGGCCCTGGGAGGCTGATGCAGTTGGATAACAAGCTGGCCTGGGCAACATAGTGCGATCCTGTCTGGAAGAGCCGGGCATAGTGGAACACACCTGTAGTTCCACTGAGGAGGCTGAGGCAAGATCAGGCAACATGGCAAGCCTCTGTCATGACCTACATGAGAAGGTCCCAGATTCATGTCCAGAGCCCTCCTTGAATATGCCAGGCACACACATGCCCATGAGCCAAGGCAGACTGAGGAAGACTGAGGACAAGGGTGTCAGTACCCTCTTAGGGTTTCTATCTCTCTGTCTCTCTTTCTCACTCCTGGAAGAAATAAATAAGCTTAATAAAACAGGAAGTTTAAACCTAACATATTTAATCAACAAAAAAATCCTGTTTGGCTATACATTGTGATGGTCTCCAAACTGTTGTGATCATATAATCATTGTAAGTACAGGATTGGTAGGATTATGGACTGGCCCCATGACCTAGTGGTTAAGGGAGCCAAATCCCACATGGCCAACTGTGATTCTAATCCCCACCCTGGTGGCTTGTAAAACACTCTGGATTGTGTGTGCATGCCCCAAATCCCAACGGAATGAAGAAATGAGAGAGAAGGGATTGCAGTGTGCCCACACCCCATTAGGGGGTGCTCACTCTCTGTCTCTCTTTCATGTATCTTCTGACAATCAAGGAAAAAAAAAAAAAAAAAGGCAAAAGAGATTTGTGCACATATATTCCACAAAATGAATACTATATATTTATTTACAGGTTATATGCACATGTGCTACTATACTCATATATTATGTGCATTATAAAACATAATGTAGAAATATGCAAAGAATTCAATAAAAACAAATATTTTATTTTTATAGCAAATAACTTTTTGCTGTTACTAGAACTTACTGATATTTAATAAGAACAATATGACTTACTCTACTGTATTATTTCTGGACATCTTGGCCTCATCTTTTGTGAAAGAGCAACTGAAAGTTTCATTTTGACACTTGGCTTCAATGGCTGTCATAGACCCTTCGAGAACAGCAGCCGTACCCGGGAAAGGGCCATCAAGGCACTGGTGCCCTCCATTTAACTCCATTCTCTGATAATGCAAAGGCTGGAGTGTTTTTTAATTTGCATTTTGTTTTCCTTTCTTTTTAATGATTTTGTTGTCATCACTAACTGAAATTTAACTGGTAAATGGCCGTCTTTCCTGATATCAATTAATTTCTCTTAAAATTGTATTGAAACTATTGATTTTTTGTATTTTTAAAACGTGTGTCCTAAAACCACTGAAACTTTGGGAGATTTTTTTTAAGCCAGGTTAGGACTTCCATTTTAAACTAATTGAACATGCAGATATGAAGAGTTTTAGCAAATAACACACGTGGGGCTGGCAGGTGGTGTGGGGGTTGAAGTCCTAGACTCCTACATGGCTGACCATGGTGCGAGTTCCAGACCTGGTGGCTTACCTTTTCACTTTCCCTCTCTCTTTCTCTCTCAGTCTCTTGCTGGTATGCACACATGCCATAGAGCATATTTTAAAATAATAATAATAAATATAATTAAATAACTTTAAAAAAAGACACACATTATTTTAAAAAATAAAGTCACTTTCCAAACATCCAATTTCAACAATATTCTCCCCTATAGCATCAGTTTCTACAGAAAAGAAACACTTTCTTATTCACTGTTAAAATATTGCTCCAAGGGCAGGCTCTGTGGTGGCAAATTGGTAATGTACCACCCAAGAAAAGCCAGATCCCACATGGCAACCACAGTCTGAATTTCTAGCTGAGTCAGCCCAAAACATGTTGGGCAATGCACGTGAGTAGCCAGAGTCCAACACATTGGAGGACTACAGGGAAGGGATTACAGTATGAGCAGACTTTGTGGAGGGTGCCTCTCTTGCACACACACATACGTATGTACACATGTACACATGCTCTATCATGAATAAAGAATATTTTTTCTACAGAGATTTTTGCTATAGGACATGTGCACTTACAGAGAGACCGGAAGTGAGAAATCACCCCCCAGGGAGGATGGCCACACACGGGAGCGGTGTGAGTTTTAAGCTGCCAGGTCTGGGACTCCAACCACAGTCGACTACATGGGAGTCCAATAACATAACTATTATACCATGTGCTGGTCCCAAGGCAAGAAAGTATTTGAGAAGAAGCTTTTGCAGGTCAGCCAGGTGGTCTGATGGTTAAGGTAACTGGATCTCACATGACCAACTGTGCTATTTCAGTCCCACACTCTGCAGCTTGAGAAACATTCTGGGCACATGTGTGTGCATGCCCAAAATCCCATGAAAAAAAATGGAGGAGAAGGGATTGTGGCATGGTCATCCTCCTTTGGCGATGCTTTCTTACTTTCTCTCTCTCTTTGTTTCTCTGGCAAGCACATGTACCCTACTATAAAATTTTTTTTAAAAAAAAGGAATAGAGAAGAAAAGGCTTTTTCCTGAAAACTACTGATTCTGGGCGTGAAGGTTAAGGCACTGGATCCCACACAGCCATGTGGTTCAAGTTCTGGACCTGGCAGCTTGAAAATCACACCAGGTGGGGAACCAGCAGTTAGCGTAATGGCTATGTCGCTGGACTCTCACGTAGTCAACCACGGTTCGCATCCTGGACCTGGTGTCTTTTAAAACTCGTGCCGGGCGTGTGTGCGTGCGTGCCCAAGATCCCGAGAGGAGAATGGAGGAGAAGGGATTGTGGCGTGGCCATCCCCCCAGGGGGGTGATTTCTCGCTTTCTGTCTCTATGTTTCCGTCTGTCTGGCGAGCGCACGTGCCCTATAGCAAAAAAAAAAAAAAAACTCTAAAAAAAAGAAAATCACACCAGGTGTGTGTGTGTATGTGCACATGCTCACAATCCTGAGGAGAAGGGTTTGCAGCATGGTCATTCCCCCATCACCCCAGGGGGTGGAGGATTTTGTTACTTTCCCTCTCACTCTCTCTCTCCTCTCCAACCAGCACGTGTGCCCTATGGCAAAAGCCTTCTAGCTCAAAGGGCTATATTTAAGCATATTGTTAAAAAAAAATATCTCTACAAGGTAGCATCTATTAACATCATTTAACACATAAAAGTAAGCAAATTTGGAGAACTTGTCTGTTTATATAAAAGGAAAACAAGTAACAATTTTTAGTTCCTTTGTTAAAAACAACCTCCATCTGGTAGAAGTACATTGATATTAATTACTCACCTCATCACAAAGTATATACAAAAATGCAATTATATGGTAAAGGACTTGCTTTTACAACGCCACCTAATTAATATTGCCCTATGGCGCTATGCATGCTTCTGGCTTTAACTTCTCTGCTCTTCCTAGTAGCTTGCTTGTGAGCATTTCATACATGTCACTGTTAATGACAATGAGCGCAAATCCTTATTCAAATAACCTGCTTGGTAATTTCTATTGAGCCAAGCTGGCTTCTGGTCAGACTTCATTAAATTGCTTTTATCCCAAATGGGAACATCTGCCAGATGTCCCCAATAACCACTCTCTCTCCCTCTTCCTCAGTACCAAAACCTCCATCAGTGGGAACAGGACTGCCCAGAGCAAAAGCGGCATTTTCCAAGCCTCTGTCCCCTTGGACCTATGTATGCCCTCAGAGCTAAGCCTGGGTCACTGGGATGAAAGCAGAAGTAGCATGTAACGGTTGAAGGAAGCACATCTCTTCTGCTCTGGTCCTCCTAACAAGCTGGAATTCAAATACAATGGCTGAAAATTCAGCAACCATCTTGAAAGAAGAGGCAGAAACCAAGTGTTGAGGCAGCCGGAGCAACAAAAGGGCAATCTGGATCCTCCCTGTGCCGAAATCATTCAGCCCTGGGTTGTCTGCATTTATTTATGTGAGAAATAAGTGACGGAGGTCTTCCAAAAGTTTGTGGAAAACACATCTGCACCAAAAGAAACTCATACTTTAATTTCATTCTTCCACAAACTTTTTGACATCCCCTTTGTACTTCTGTCTTGTTTGAGCTTCGTTTACTTTGGTTTTTTGGCTCTCACTGGGCCTGGTAACAGGGTCGATGAAGAGCGCATGCAGGGAGTCAGAGAGACAGCTCTGCCATTTTCTCACACTGGCATGTGCTTACCCTCTTAGTATCACCTCCAATCTGCACTTTCCTAACAGAAACTGCTTGTAAGCCAGCTGTTCATTCCATCCAGATTAGCTCATAGAAGTGCATAGTACAATCTTCCTTAAAATTTCTTTTTTTTTTTTTTTTGAATTGCCATAGGGCACATGCACTCACCAGAGAGAGGGAAGAAATAACCTCTCATTGGGGATGGTCATGCCACAATCTCCATTTCTCCATCCCATCAGGACTTGAAGCATGCATGCACACGAGCCCAGTGGGCTTTTCAAGACACTGGAGCTGGGATTCAAACTGCAGTCAGGCACGTAGAATCCGGCTCCTTATGTGCAGTGCTTAATCGCTGTACTACAACCTTTAAATCCACTTCATCCGTTGTGTGTGAAATGCAACACGGGTCAAGAACTTTGAAAGCAAATGAACGAGGGGGGTCACCCTAAGGCGACTCTAACCTTTCCCTCCAGACAACTCAAGAGCCATGTATAACTGTGTCTAGCTGGATAGAGGCCACGGAAGAACACGAGTGTCTAGGTTAAGCACTAATCAAGCTTCATTTTTGGCCAATACATAAATACATGAATAAGTACATGAAGCTGTGCCTTCTCCTTGCCCCCCCCCATCAACAAACACCTATTTTATACACCTGCCTCATAATGCGGGCACTGTACCCACCTTAGGGCAGGGTGGGGACGGACTCATGGCGAACTACGGATTTCTCTCCTGGGTCATGACACATACTGTGCCGCGAGATGAAAATGTTCATAACCAAAAGTAACACAACAACAAAACCAAAAAACCCACAAAAATCAATGTTCAGTACGAGTGGCAAATCAAAGGTTGGGTATACATAAAGACTTGCTGCCTTACCTGAATACTTCAAGAACAGTCCTTTCTGGTAATTTGGGAGCCACCTGTCGAAATGCTTTTCTGAAATCTTCCAAAGTTAAAAATCCACGATCTATTTGAAAACAAAATATAAAATGTTCACTTACTTTGAGAAACCCCATGAACTGTCATTTCGCCCATATTTGTGTGAAACTTTATTTCAACATGTAATATTATTAGGAGAAAAGTAGTCATTCACAGCTAATGTCACACAGAACATAATCCAAGATTGTCTCGTCAGAAGAACCCGGGAACTCAATAGTAACGGTCTCCTGCAGCACAGTCCCAGATAACCTCGAAGGTCACTTCCAGCCCTGTCACTTTGCTGGCTCTCTAAATTCGAAGGAGAGGACTGCACAGGCACATCCACTATAATAATGGCATTACGCCCTGAGTTTCTGTGAACTGACAAAAGAATTCAGTCTTCAAAATTCACCTTTTTTCCTCGCTTGGTATTAGAATTATGATATACTAATATTTCAGGGGAAATTTTTATAGCATCCAAGACACTGAGCCTTCTCATCCTGACTATGATCTGTGGAGATTAAACCAAGTGGGTGATGTAATGTCACCCCTCCCACAGCCACCCCCAGTGTGGGAAAACAAGTCCTTCAGTCAAGTGGGGATGTCAAAGCAGGAGCTGAAGAAGGCCACACATCTCCCCATACTTCCATAGTCGGCTGACAGCCTAGATCCCCGCATGGCCAGTCTCTTTCTGCCCCCATTATAATAAGAAGAAACTTAAGTATAATTATAAACAAGTAGAGTTATCCCTTATCCAAAATGCTTGGGACCAAAAAGGTTTCAGATTTCAAGTTCTTTTGGATTTTGGAATATTTGCATACATAATAAAAGACCTTCTAGAGGGGACCCATGTCCAAACTCGAATTTCACTGATGTTTCGCGTGTATCTTATCCACACATTCTGAAGTTCATTTTATACATTATTTTTGTATTGCACTGTCTTGACTGTGACCTGTCTCACATGAGAGCAGGGTGGAATTTTCCACATGTGGCATTATGCCTGTGCTTGAAAACTCTGGGCCCAGCTGTAGTGGCACTTGCTACTAAGATTCTGTGCTCCACAGACTGGGGACCACCATGGAAGGCTTAGGCTAAAGGTCAAGCATAGTGGCAAATGCCTATAATCTCTGCTACATGGGAGACTGAGGCAGGAAGATTATGACAAAGTGAGACCCTGCCTTAAAAACAAAAAAATGTTGGGGCCGGCAGGTGTCATGGTGGTAAGGGCACTGGTCTCCCACATGGCCAATGGCAGTTCGAGTCCTGGACCTGGAGGCTTACTTTCTCTCCTTCTCTCTCTCTTTAGTGAGTGCATGTGTCCTATAGCAAAGTTAAAATATAGTAAAAATAATTATAAATAAAATTAACTTGTTCTTTTAAAAAAAGAATTTTTAAAAATTTTGGAGCATTTCAGATTTCAAGTTCTCAGATAAGAGATGCTCAACCTTTAACTGCAATTATTATTTCTTCCTTGGTCAGGAATTTGAGATCACAACGATGCACCAAAACCTAACAGCTAATGAGCGCAGTAAAATAATCTTCCGAGTACATTGAATGTTTGATTTTCTGAGTACAGATTCCCATTCACAGTTCCTTAATAGCAATTTTTACATCAAAACACTTTAAACACTTTAAAGACACTTACAGTGCATGTCAAAAGCTGTGAAAATGTCTCTAATTTCATTCCGGTAGAGTTGAGCTTCCTTCTTTTTCCGTATAATGTTTAAGAATGTCTCGAGTAATATACCTAAAAGTTGGAAAAACAATTTGCCAGAGATGACTATCTTCCTTTTTTAAGAAAACTATAAAGCAGAAACAAACAGTGGTAAACATTACAAATAATCAAATTGTATTTTACTTTTGGTGATCAGTATTTACTCCTAAAGTCCTATGAAGTCAAAAAGACATTTTGCTTGGCCTAGCCATGGTAGTATCTGCTGCCAGAAGGTATTCCTCATCACACTGAAGCCACATGAGAAGCCCAGGTTCGATTTTCAGCCCACCCTAAAGGTCAGATGCGGTTGTGTGTCTATAATGCCAGCTACTGGAGAGACTAAGGCAGGGCCATTTTCCAATTTAAAATATAGTGAGATCCTGTCTAAATTATTTTTTTAGAGGTCTTTGCCTTAGGGGGCATGTGTTCCCTGATAGAGAGACATGAGAAAGAAAGTGAGAAATCACTCCCCGGGAGGATGGCCACGCCGCAATCCCTTCCCCTCCATTTACCTCCTATAATGCCAGCTACTGGAGAGACTAAGGCAGGGCCATTTTCCAATTTAAAATATAGTGAGATCCTGTCTAAATTATTTTTTTAGAGGTCTTTGCCTTAGGGGGCATGTGTTCCCTGATAGAGAGACATGAGAAAGAAAGTGAGAAATCACTCCCCGGGAGGATGGCCACGCCGCAATCCCTTCCCCTCCTTTTACCTCCTGAGATCTTGGGCAGGCATGCACATGCACCCAGCATGAGTTTCAAGACACCAGGTCCAGGACTTGAACCATGGTTGGCCATGTGAGAGTCCAGCGATATAACCACTATACCATCTGCTGGCCCTAACCCTGTTTAAAATTCTAAAAAAGAAAGAAAGGATGGACATTAGGTTGTCAGAAAAGTCATGACACATGACAAATTTTGTTCTATGTAACAATGTGTCATGACTTTTCTGACAACCCAATATTCTGCTAAATGTTCAGTAAGAGCTGATCAATAGTGAAAACATACACAATGTTAGTGTTCAGTGAGCTTTTTCTAGGGATAAAAGGTTGGTGGCCTTGAAAAAAGTTTAACAGCGTTCCCTCTAACAGGTCTAATAGACAGGCATGAAACTTATTAAACAAGGTCTTGTAATTTTTCTCTCCTTATGCTTCTTCGATTCCTTTTTTCCTAGCCAGATGTCATTATGGCAGGGTTTTCTTCCAACTGGGAGACAGGGTCAGAGAAGTAGTTTCTCAAAAGTCAATGCCAATTGCACACCACAGATAAAGGTGGAGAGCACATTACATAAACAATAGAGCTGGCACCTTCCCCAGCCCTGGGTACACCCCACAACGTGTTCGGCAGCCTCGGGCTGAGCTTCCTGCAACTCTCATAATAAAAGAGCCCAGCATGATAATATGAGATTGGATACTGTGCTTACAATGTCTATTAAAATGAATTCTAATGTGATCTTTGTAGCGGGTTTAAAGAGCAGAGCCAAGAATTTAAACATTTTAGTGAAGTGAGCCCTAAATACATAAAAAGAACAGTTCATTTTTATAACTCAGGAGTTCCATTAAAAATTATTTATTTATTCATTCATTATTTTAATTTGACCAGACACACACACACACACACACACACACACAGAGAGAGAGACAGAGAGACAGAGAGAGCAAGTGAAAGAGAGAGAGAGAAAGTGAGAAAGCAAGGCACCAGGTCCAGGTCTTGAACCATGATCGGCCATGTGGGAGTGCCCAGTGCCTTAAATCCATGCCACCTGCTGGCCCCGAGAGTTTTAAAAACAGCCCCTAATCATACAATAATCACGAATACCCTTTATTCTTTTGGCAAGGTAATACTGAGCAGTATACCTTTCTTAAAATACTTCCAGCAATTTAAAGAATATAGAAATAATTTTATTAATGTCTCCTGTGTTTCTTATTTATAGTTATAGATTTACAAACTAAAATAAAAATCAATCTATGTTTTTAAATAATTCTTTTACAAATTTTTAGTAAGGCTGTCTGTCAGGCACTGTGTTAAGCTCTGGAAATGGAATGGAAAAGAGAACATGCCTGATTCCAGATCCAAGGGAGCTATGTTTCAGTGGGGACAGTCATTACAATTGCTCACACACATGATGGCAAACTGTGGCATGGGCAGTGACGGTAAAGAGGGTCCTAGGAACCCTCTTGTAGGCTCTGCGGGGAAGGAGAGATCTCCTAGAGGAGGAAAGACTTCAGTAAGACTTAAACTACGACACCAACTGGCTCGAGGGCGTGTGGAAGAGCATCTCAGGCCACGGAATAGCATGTGCCACGGTCAGTGAATAGAAAAGTGGGAAGATGAGGACAGTCCACTGTGGCTGGAGCGAGGCAGCAGGAAGAAGTGATTAATGTGGGACGAGGTTGGTGAGGGGGACATGGCCCGAACTCATAGGTCTTGTAGGCCACAGTAAATAACTTGGGTTTTAGTTAAGTCATCATAGAAAGTTTGAATTGAGAAGTGATATGATCTGACTTAGATTTTTTAGAGCTCTTTCCAGCTATCATTTTATAAAAAGGATTAGAAGGAAACCAAAAAAGGTAAAAAATGTTAGGAACCTATTGGCAAGAGACGTGATTGCTAGGATGCAGGTAGTGAGAATGAGAGACATGTTTTAGAATAGAAATGATATAACTTGATGATGAAATGTAGTGGTAGATGAGAAAGAAGATGCTAAGAATGGCCTGGAGAGGGTCAGCAGGTGGCATAGTGGTTAAGGCACTGGATGTCCATGTGTGTAACCACGGTTCGAGTCTCAGATCTGGCAGCTTGAAAATCCTGCTTGGTGTATGTGCATGTGTGTCCAAAATCCTGAGAGGAGACTGGAGAAGGGATTGCAGCATGGCCATCCCCCCTGGGTGGGAGAAATTTTTCCTTCTCCCACTGTCTCTGTCTCTCTCTGGTGAGCACACATGCCCAACAGCAAAAACTAAAAATAAATAAATATGTCCTACATTGAATTAGCATGCAATGCAAAATTTCCCAATAGTTATTAAGGACAGGAACTGATGCAGCTCCATTCTCATCTAACCACCCTTGTGACCAGAAGATATATTAAAAACTGCAGTTAAAATTGAAGTCTAGCCCTATTCCCACAAGAGCATGTCCATGACTTCAGTTTCATAAACACCAAAAGGTATACAATTAAATAGCATCTGAATTAGTGGAAATTCGTGAATAATTTAGACTGACAATGGCATGTCCTATAAGACCCTTCACAATCTCACCCCAGCCTAGATGTCTAGACCCATTAGCAAATGTCCTGGCACTTCCCCAAGACAACAGGGCTCTTCTGTACCCCCTTTCCGTGTGTAACACTCTCTTGCCTTTTTCCTCAAGAATTTTTATATCTCCTCCTAGATTCACCTCCTCTTTGAAGGATTCTCTAATTTCTCTCAGAAGACCTGACAGGTATCTACTCATGCCACTATCATAAAATCTGTTAGGGTCTATGGTAATTATCTGGCCACATCTCTACCTGGGACATGCTGAAGGAAAGTAGTATTTTTTTCCCTTTTTTCTTCTTCTTTTTTTTTTCCCCTTAGGTTTTTGCCATAGGGTACATGCACTTACTGGAGAGAAACAGAGAAAGTGATAAAACACCCCCAGGGGAGATGGCCACATTGCAATCCCTTCTCCTCCTGAGATTTTGGGCACACATGCACACACACACACACACACACACACGCACACACACGGAGTGGTTTTCAAAGTGCCAGATCCGGGACTTGAACCATGGTTGGTCATGTGGGAGTCCAATGCCTTAAACTACACCACTTGCTGGCCCTTGTTGTTAAAAATTGTATTTCAAGTGTTTGGCATGATGCCTAGCATGTAATAGGCATTTGCTGCATGTTTGCTGAATAAGTAACATGTAATGAATAAATATAACAAATAGGAAGATGTCATTCCTAGAAAAAAGTATTAACAAGTGTGTCTTAAATGGTCGTACAACTCTGTAAACTAATACCAAAAAGTAGGTCACCTTTTGGTCACCTAACCAGCAAAATAAAGTGTCACTTTCAAAACTCCAATTTCTCAATATATATGATACGGTAAAACAAACAAAAATCAGAGAAGAAGGAAATGCATGCATTATATTTATTTTTTACTTATCATTGCACCTGACTCAGAGAAATCATGGGGTGAGGTTAACACGTGATTCACAAGAAGAAAAAACACATGCATGGCAGTGATATCTTTAAAATTACATATGGAGGTTAAGGCATCAGCATTTGGAGCAATAAAGCTTTCAGGTCTTTATTGCAGTCTTTATCCCAGATACAAAGAAAATGTTCTTTAGTTTTCACTAGGGGAAAATGTACGTGGATTTAAGTGATAATGTTTATTACCACTTAAAAGAGAAACAATCTAATAACACAAATAACTCTATGTGTAATCAAGTTCTCTCATGCTATTTTCCCACAGAATCATGTACGTTTTCCTTTAAAGAAAGTTTTCTTTTTCTTTTTTTAAGTGTTGCCAGTGTGTACATACATTTGTGAGAGAGAGAGAAAACACACCTCAGTGGGGCCTGGTTATGCCACAATCCCTTTTCTTCCATTCCTG